GGGCATCATCCCTGTGGTCATGGTGTGCCCAGTTGACGAAGTGCAGTCCAGTAGCAGCCGCACTATTTTCTCGGATCGAGGCAGTGCCAATATGCCATTGGCCGTTCTTTGGCCCGCACAGCATCGGGTATTGAATGCCAATGAGTGGCTCATGCACCTCTGTGCAACGCGAGCACTGGTAGGGAGCATTACGCTCCATTGGTGCACACAAAAAACTCCTGACCGGGCTGCGGCGCTGGTGGCTTGATGAAAGTGAGAGTGCCCTGGTCGTGTGATGGCACACCCCAATCCTGCTGAAAGCCCCTCCGGAACATCAACGTTCACATGGCGGACGTCTTTGTGGGCCGCCTGCAGGCTTGCCCCCAAGGACGCAGAGCTGCGTCGGCCATGCTAGTCGCTACGCAGGGCAAGCTGCTGATGTCGCGAACAAAGCAAAAGAATGCCAGTTTGAGGCTCTGCATAAAATCTATTTTTATGACGCATGGCGTGGCCAACCAGAGCTAGGAACAAAGGGCTTCTCCCTCCACCTTCCTCCTCGCCCAGGGCTGCTCGAAGCTGGCTGCTACTGGCGGCAAACTCATGCAGCCGACGCTGCCAGCGCCAACACGCCCAACCCCAAGGGTGCCGAAGGTGTCCTAGCCGAAATCAGCTTGACCGATGAGGACTCGGAGGACAAAGCTGGCAGCACACAGCCGAGTCTAATCCCATCGCCAGAGAGCACAGACCAGGAGTTAGATGCCCCGATTTTTGTTAGCAGCGCGGATGAGCAGCAAGCCAGCTCCCCCACAGAGGAAACAGAGCAATCACATGCTGACTCCAAGGTTGTTTCCGTGGCCTTGGAGAGCGAGGAAGAGCCGGCTGAGGAAGAAGAAGAAGAGGAAGCAGAAGACGAAGAAACTGTAGAAGAAGAAGAAGAAGAAGAAGAGGAAGATATGGGAGAGGACGTGATTCCAGTGGAACCCGATCCTGTGGCCTTAGCAGAGAGTGAAGCTGTCACCAAAGAAGCATCGGCATCCATCGATAAGGTCAGCGCCGGTGACGACCCAGCACCCGGCACACCGCATGTGCACCATGAAATACGCGAGGGCAAGGCATCGATGTCCCGGACAGGGCCTGCCAGTCCTGTTGGCAGCCCTGCGCACAACTCTGACCAGCCCAGCTCTAGCAAGGCATGGGAAGGCGGTTGCCGTAGTAACCGTCCTTCTGATGCCCTCGTCCCTGACCCTAGCCGTGCACTGCCTGCTGTGGTAAGAGGGCGGCGTCGATGGAAGCACCTGTTTTTGTGTTGTGGTGGGTTGCGTGTTGCGTTCCTGTGTTTTTATGGTTTGTTTTTCCTTTCAATGTTGTTGCCTTTAATACTCAGGAAATCTTAATTTCTACAACCGCTGACCTTCGCATTCCTGCGATAACGGCAGCCCCACGTGTGCGAAACATGGTATTTTGTCGCCTTGCACTGGTGATGATGATGATGATGATGTTGATGATGACATCGCGTAATTCCCATTGCCGCGCACATGCACGGTCAACATTCCAGAGGGAGCGACGAGAACCCCAAAGTCGATTTTTCATGCAAACACGGGCAGCTTCTTCGGCCAGTTCATTCCAGCGACGCATTTGGACCTCGGTACAAAGCGGATGCACTTTGAAAAGGGAGAGTTTGCCATGAGATGGCCCCCAACGGAAATCAATACGAACATGGAAATGCGACATTACTGGGAGAAAAGCCACGGCCCTGGCGGCCAAGCCATATGGGCATTTGAAACAATTTTTAATGCTGATTCACAGTCCGAAAGAATGAGCACGGTCTTATTAGTAGGCGAAACATTTTCACCTTGCACTGGGATGAACTCAGTGTAGAACAAATCCTGGACGTGGATGAATTGCTGAGGAAATCAGCCTTCAGCTGTCGTGAAGTCCCAGCATGTCAGCTCTCCAACATCAATGGGACGGAACAATCGGCACGCAATTTCCCACGTGCCCACGGCGGCAACTGTGGGCATCGAAGATTGACGAGCGAGGTGCCAAGCCATCCAGTCATGGTGTTGCTTTCAACCTCCAGGCATGCTTCAGAGACTTGCCTCCTGGCTGTTTCAGTACAAGTCTTTCCTGCGCATTGAGTGCCCTTCTTTCTTCCAGACATTGTCTCCGCTCTTTTTGACGGAAGTCAGAAAGCACGGTTCCATCCTTGAGTTCGCTTGCGTCCACTTGTTTTGGCTTGTTTCCCACTTACTTGCACAAGGCGCATTCGGTGGACCCTCCAGGTGTCCATTCTTCTCCATGTCTTCTTGCATCAAATCAAATGAACACACTTCAACGAGAGCGAAACACAGACTTCTCCAGAAATTCATTCGTGTGGTTCCACCCCGAACATGCATCGCTTTGACCCTCAATAACAAACATAGAAAACTTTTCCAAAGCTTCTTTTTTGATTCGAAACAACTCTTTCAATGCTCATGTTTGTGATGTTTTTTTGCACTCGTGGGGCTGCCGTCATCGCAAGAATGCGAAGGTCAACTCCTCGTGTTTGTGATGCAATGTTGTTTGGGGCAAGTCCAGGATGTTTTGTCTTGGAGAAGCTGCAAGATGTGATCTGAAGCTGTCCAGGATGGATGGGAACATCGAATGCTGCAGTTGGTTCGACAGGCAGGTGAAGTTCAGGGCTCCAAAACGCTGAATTCTCAGACGAGACACCGTGATGCTCTTGATGATAGTGTCCATCCACTTTTCGTGCCAAGGAGGTGAAGGAGAAAACATGAGAGGGCAAGATCCCCATTCAGCTTCAACCCCAAGTGCTGGGTGCTGGGTGTGAAAGCCTTGCTTTTTGGGGCCAGTGATGAGACAGACAGGCTTGAAGTCAACACAGTGAGACTTCAATGTCTGGTTCTCTGAGTGATCCTTGGTTGTTGAATTGTTTGATTGTGTTTGGTGTATTTCAACTTGTTTTGAGCTGTTCTGTTGGATTCGTGACATTTGATGGACCTCTTGAGTTTTTTTGCACGGGTGGAGCCGCCATTCATGCAGGAAATGCAAAGCTCAGCTGTTTTTGAAAGAGTCTCCAGATGTACATGCTTTGCTCTGCAGGAGGGAAGCAGAGCGAAACAACATGCGTTCGCGATGTCGATAATGTGCAGGTCACGGGCCAGCATATCCGGCATCGCCAACGTTTGGTCCAACTTTATCTATCTTCCAAAAAGCACTGTAAAGCAGCACATTTTTAGGGTAACAATGCACACGCCGAAAGCTAAAACTTGGGATTTGATTTAGCAGATTCCTTGCAGTTGCTGTTGATGCGAGCCTTTACAACGCGCCGACCGGCACTTTCGGCGCGGGCGGATTTACAGCTTGTCCTTCCTGCCAGGCACCGGGCCTTGAAGCCCAGTAGGTGTTTGCGAAAAAAATTGAAACAGCCACCAAGATGTTGAAAACTAGAGCCCAACTTTCGGTCATCTTTCGTGTGATCTGTTCGGTGTGCTTGCATCTTTATCGCTTGATTTTTTTCGCACCTTGTTGACATTGACCCTTCCACCGTTTTCAGGCCGTGCGCGACCTAAGAGAGGAAAAAAGGAGGACAAAGGGCACACGCAGCGAAGATTGAGAGGAAGAAATGGAAGAACAAAGGGACAAGGTGAGGCTACAGAGGCCAATCCGTCGATGCAGGGCCTGTTACAGGAGGTCAACAATATATGTTGAAGAACCTGCAGTCGTCCCGTTTGTCAAAAACCTCATCACTTCGATGCCTCAAGAACAAGAGAGGAAACAGGTCATGGATTTACTTCAACTGTTTAACTTGGTGATGCAAAAAATCTTTCACCCCAACAGACTTCAAAAAGGTAAAAAGGAAGGATTGTTTGATACCGGGGCAAAACATTCAAATCGACCAATACAAACGAGTTCAAGTTGCATTGGCCGATGGGCAGTCCACCACCTTGGCCATAAGCCCAAGTGAAGCAATGATTTCAGACAAAGACATCGAGCCGATCCTGCGGAGGTTTCTTACACATGGCAACCTGAACCGAAGCTCCCTCAAACGGCTGAATTCGAGACATGAACCGAACCCCAACGCGAACCGAACAGTTCCCTTTGACATCCACACACTGCGATTATGGTCATCCACAGGAATCCACTGAATGGGAGCCACCAGTGCATCTGGCTAACTTAGATTGTTGCAGGCGACGAGGACACAGTCTTTTTTTTTTCGACCAAAATGTCGCCGTTTTCCTTGGTTCAGATTGTTGAACATCATTTTGACTCGGTGTCGTGTTTGGTGGTGTGAACATGGAGATGTTTCCCCGTTTTAGTTTCTTACGGCGCATTCGCTTTCTGGGGCCTTTGTATGGTCAAATGTTTGAGCCGAGCAACTCTTCAAAGTCACAACACTTGTCTACTATGCATCTTGGAACCCAAAGCAGCGCACCTCAATTTAACATGCAGCCATCGAAACGTGTGCATGAAAAGGCCCCTGCCACCGACATGGAACACTCCAAAGTTTTAAATCTAAGTTTTCAAGGCAGAAGACAGAACGTTCGAGACAAGTGGACCATGGAATGTTTCGACTGCTCAACTGCTCTGACTGTGCCCTACTCACCGGCACTGAGGAGCTAGCTACCACCCATCATGGTAGACCATCACGATGGTGTTGCATGTGATCGTGTGGGTGTTGGCCAACATCCGTGGTTTGTTCTATTGGGCATGTGCAGCGCGGGTTGACCCGGCCCCACATGGAAGCAGCATTGTCACGTGCAATGGCACGTTGATGGGACTGCAAGTAGAATGAGGTAATTTATGGCTTTCAGAAAGTCACGATTTGGCTGCGGGTCAGAACCATTTAAAGCCACATAGCCCTGCAGAGTCCTACCCCTTTTGGATTCAGCTGCTCAAACATAGAACCAACGCACAAAGACCTGGACCAATTCGGTCCTTGTACTTGCTTACAAGCCCGCACCTGAGTGCAACGAAGCAGTTCAGATGGACCAGATACAGGACATTTTCTTCTAAGGCCAATGTCGGCCAAAAAAAAAGTGCTGCTCAAAGTGATCATCCTCGGCGATAGTGGGTCAAGTTGGCTTTTGTCGACTTGCAATTTTAACTTTTCTCCTGGCAATTCAACATGAACATTGGAGGAACTTCAGCGTTTGCAACCAACATAAAACTTCATGGCAGGGTGGGCAAGACATCGTTGATGAATCAATATGTCAACAAAAAGTTCACCAACCAGTACAAGGTCAGTGTTCGCTGTGGTTCATTTTGCTTTCTCAGTTTTTCCCGGGGTAAATGAGGAAGTGGGGAAGTCTCTGGAAAGGCGACCATCGGCGCTGACTTTTTGACCAAAGAAGTCATGATTGATGACAAGCTGGTGACCATGCAGGCCGGCTTCGCAACATCGCCAAGGCAGTTAAAAGATGTTAAACATGCATAGTCATGGTTAGTGTGTTGTGCGGAAGATGGTCTAAGAACCAAAGGACTACAATGCTGCAAAAAGAAAACTAGTTTTCACTGAAAACTGGAGAATGTATTGCCTGATATCGACTCGAACGATTCTCTCACAGAGCTGCCGACAGATTTGGGATACTGCTGGACAAGAGCGGTTTCAATCCCTTGGCATTGAACTCAGGGATTCCTATTGGGTTGGACTTTGCAGCGACAGAGTGTATGTTTCACATGCTTTGGCTGGAATTCATGCACTGAGTCACTGAGGTGTTGCATTTTACCGAGGGGCTGACTGCTGTGTCCTAGTGCATGATTTGACTGCTGGCCACTCAGGAAAAACCCTGAGAGATATGGAAGAACGTTGGGTGTTGAGATGTTGAGCACTTTTTCGCTTCATACAATTTGTTGTTAGTAGCCATCGCCAGTAGGTTGGAGGTCATCGCTAATAGGTTGGAGGCCATCGCTATTTGGTTGGAGGCCATCGCTAGTAGGCTGGATTCTCTATGAACGAAAAAGTGGTAGTAGCACTGCACTCTATTTTTTTAAATGTTGTAGCCGATCATTCAGGTGCCAAAGACCTTCGAATCTTTAGAGGTTTGGCGTGATGAGTTTCTCATCCAGGCCGCATGCAATTGTCCGATGATCTAGCCGTAAATCAAAGCCAATTGGCGAGTTTGCGAATTCAGGACTGTTCATGATTTCTACATGGAGCAACGACAACAGAAACTTCTCCCTTCTGATGATAAACGGGTGTGGCATGTGTTTGTTTTGTTTGAGGTAGCGTCCAGGACAAAAAGAACATGTTTGTCAACCTGCTCCTGCCTCTCTTTTTTTGGCCTTATTTGTACTGTATTCTTTTTTTGTAAACGTTTTTTGGTGTTCAGTGTTGGCCAACGATTCTGGGGTGGATTGGGCACCGACGTGGGCAGACGGAACTGGGAGGTTTCAGCCGGGCAGTCGGAAGGCTTTCGGGTCGAGCTCCAGGGCAGTTCCACGTATGGTTCCACAGAGCTTTCAGTAGGGTTCTAAGTCCTGAGCCATCTTTTTAGTTTGTAGGGTTTGCAGTAGCTTTCAAGCTGGTTTCAGGTCCGACTGGTGATATTCAGGCAGGTTTCAAGTTTCCAATAAAGATTCCAGCGAGTTGGAGTCCATTTCCCCTTCAACCAGCGATTTCTGGGTGTGTCTCCTTGTGTTTTTAGAGACAGTGATACTCTGATACTCAATGTTTTGCCTCTCTAGCTATGAATATCGAGAAAAACCATGCATTGCCAGGCAAGTCCTCGCCACCTGTCTGCACATTTGACTTTGGTTTTATTGGAGTGTCTCAATTGCTAAAGTGTCTTTACTTTGTTTGTCCTTTTGCCGGCTTCCTTTGTTTCTCTGAGGTGATCCTGACAATTTTCCCTTTGTTGTGCTTGGCAACAAGGCCGGCAACTTTTTGGGTGGATTTGAATGATTCGAGCTGTTTAGAATGAGACGAAGCCTTTCTCGCAATTTGTAACTTGCAACCAGTTCAATTCACGTGTGAACTGTGTTTAAGTGACTCTCTAGCGGTCTGGCGGTTATGTGACCTTTTTCTTGCAATTCTTGCTGACAGGCGGATCTCGAGAGCAAACGCAAGGCGATCACAGCTTGATTGCATGCTTGCATAAGTTCTGAGTTGATTGAGATGGTGTGACTTGGGAAAGGTTACAGCAGCTCGGGCCACACAGTGGTGCAAGTCAAAAAACAGCATACCGTGCGCGATCAGCTGCAGTCATGTTGGTGCTCGAAGTCATGGGAGTTTTACAGCTGCATTATATAGGTCTGTAGAGACAGACACTTTGATTTTGCGAAGTCGCGCTGCTTGTATACAATTTGTTCTTCACACGTGTGTTTGCAGCTAGGCTAGGTAGCTTAGGTAGCTTAGGTAGGTGTGAGTCTGGCGGTTTCCAGGTACCACGAGACCAGCGCAGCCACTGCACAGAATGTGGAGGCTGGCCGACGGCCGAATTGGGAAAGATCATGGAAAGCAGAGCAGACCGACCTTCAGAATAGAAGATCACAGAGCAACCCTTGTTCAAATTGTTTTCATGCCATCAACGCTGAATATTTGGTGGGTCATCTCTGTGTATACAAGGCAACAAAGCACTGTTGTAACGCCTCAATCTTTCGAGCAGACAACTTTGCCTGCAAAGGGCTGTCGATTTTCTGCGCTCCCCTGCTCCAAGGTCGCCTTTCAGGAGATCGCCCGCCGGGCGTTAAAGCAGGAGCACACTGAGGATCCGATGTACCGCTGGCAGCTTAAGACAAAAATGCGATTGGTTTCAGCGAAAAGAGCTCCGAGTTGAACCCGTCCAACTTGGCCAGATACCTTCCAGAGACCTTGACTCTGAATGCCAATCAGCAGAACTTCTCCAACAACAGACCCATGGGGTGCATTGTGGCATGTTTATTTGGATTGTGCCACAGTCTGGTGGTTGGGTGAGTGCTACCTTCTCAAACAAGCGCTATTTGGGCGGGCCTAGTTTTGAATCTAGTACATTAAGAGTCTAGGCTTCAGCGGCCTCAGTAGAGTATTTTTAGATTTTCAGATAGGATTGATGGATCAAGACGGGGGACACGTGGCTGTTGAGACTTGGCAGGCCAGACTGCGCCTGCTGACGTCTCACAAGACTGGCTTTTCAGGGCTGAAAGGAGTTGACTCTCACAAAAGGGACATGGGACAGAAGCAACCAGTGTACCGAGGGTCCGAGAGTACAATTTTTGTGGGATGGAAATGACCAGCATGAGTCTGGATTGTGGTCGTCAAGGAGACAAGCTTCTAGGTCAAACATTGGTCAAGCCACGACGTAATATCATATGGAGTGCTGCAAGAGCACGAAGGTAAATTCTTGTTTTGCAGCTTAGACGTTGACACGATCTCCTTGAAAAGCTTGCGCAATTCAATCAAGGTCTCTTTCGGCCGGCAAATCCTGCTTAATTGACCCTCAACAGGCAGTCATTGCAGGACATCCCGGGTCATGTTGGTGGAATCCCTGCACAAACTTAGATGGCTCACTTGATCAAGCTTCTTTATGCTCCGCCATCCAACCTTAGTAGCAGTTAAGTTGGTAGGTCACCGCAAACTCAAGCAGTTTTTTCAGAAGAATGAAGACTACCAAACCAATGTAACGGGTTCAATTCTGCGCGCTCTCTCTCTCTATATACATATAACTGCAGCAGCTGCACAGCATGCTGAAATGGAATTGTTGATACTGTAGTTTCGCATAGAAACTTTTCAACATTGCATCCCGTGAATGCCAGCGCTGCGAAATCCAGGAACATTGGCGGAACTGCTAGAGTGTTTGGAAGTCCTGTACTGTGTGCAGCTTCGTGGTTGATGAGTTGCAGCTGCTAACTGGCTGCAATGCCTTGCCTACGTTCTTAAAGACATATCGCACTTGCCAGTTTCAGGGTGTTTTATATATTGATGTTTGAGTGGCATTGTGCCTTGCTTGAGCTGCTTGCTTTATGCTTTGACATTTGCCAGTTCATCAAGTGTCAGCAAGTATATACATCGATTGCCATATGAAGCGAGGTTTTATCAAAAGAGTTTGATGAGTCTTGTTGGTAAGCCAGGTGATTCCACATTGCCTGTGGGGTCTTTGACATGATCCCTGTTGAATTTTCCACTGGCGGTGTTCGATTCTACTAGACTTGGGTTTTCACGCCCAGACTTTCCCAAAAGATCACCACGATCTCCAAGGTCTCCAGGTTTGACCCACCTTTCTTTGCAGCTTGGAATAGTAGCTGTGTGACACCGTCACCAGACAAGACCAAGGACAGCACGTTGCGACCTTGGGCTGGGGGTGGGGCCCAGGATTTAGCACCAAAACATTGAAGAACCCAGTTTGGGCATGGCCGCATGGCGTATCCTGGAAAGAAAAAGGAGACTGGTCAAGTCAGGTACAGTATATATATATATGGTGTTTTTAGTTGTTTAGTGTGGTCATTCACACCTTAGCTGGCCTGTTTTCCATGCATTATATAAATCATTAATTCGGGTTTGTCTCAAGATATGACAGGGAGACCACTCAAGGATCCTTCGGTTGGACACAATCGTGCAGTATGTATAGCTGTTGTGGGCCTACCTCCCTCTTGCGTGCAGTGCCCACGGTGAGCCCTTGGTCAAATCAGAGACATCCTGTTAGTCAGGATTGTTAGGAAGCATTTGCAGATGCATTGAGGCATTGAGGAATTGTTTCACCTGAGAGAGGAAGAGAACGAGTGATCAGTTGGCAGTTCTGGATCCCGACATGACATGTATTCCTAGCATATTGAGCGCCAACTGGTTCTCTCATTTTGCGGACGAAAAGGTCCTTATGGCATTGAGCAACTCTTGTAGATTGTAGATGTGGGGAGTCAGTGACTGAGCTTGGCAAGACTTAGGACCTAGGACATACATGGCCAGCAAAGGGGACTAGGTGTGACATGTTTGTTTGGCTTAGAGAGTTTCGGCTTTGAATCAAACAAAAAGATCTCATGGGGTGCAACTCCAGCACAGCGAAGTCTCAGGTGGTGTCCTCAGAGAAGTCTTTCTCGTGAAATCTCAGAGAATGGCAGCGACTGAGGCTGGCAAGACCTTGCTGAACAGCAGCAATCCTAGCAAGGCCAAACTGATCAACATTTCCAGTGCCTTTGGTCGAACAAGCCACAAAACACGGTTGGTCTGTTATCAAACTCTCGCAGTACCTTGTCACATGCTTCTCCATGGATCAAGCTTGAGCCAGGGCAGACATGAAGGGAGCTTGACTCAGCAATGATGTTATATATTCATTTTGCGCACGATTGGACACAGTGACACTGGAGCAGTTTTTGCTTGTTTGGTTGAGGACTCGACACGAGGAGCTGAGGGATTGTGGCACATCACGCTGATTCAAACACAAATTCTACTGGAAGATCGTAGCCAGCGGTGAAAACCACTGACCCGGGTCTGAGCTCAAGGTCCAAAGGGTGCAGTTTTGTTGAGTCATGTGGCTAGGACAAGCCCATCGCGAAAGTGACATCCGAAGCCCAAGTGGTGCACTATACACCCACGGAGGACACTGGTGCGGACAGTACACAGACAGCGCTTCCCAGGAAAGGCTATTTATTCTCAGTGTGTTTCATGGCTGAAACATATGGCAGAGGATCACACTTGACAGCCAGCCAGTTGATATCTAATTGTCGCGTTGATAGTGGAACCATATGATGGGTAAATCCTACTGTGGCCGAGAGCCATGATCCTGGAGGGAGCCGTTACCTTTATTCTAGTGGGGATCATGGGCATGAAAAGAAAACGTCGTAGGAAAAACCACGCAGAAGTGGGAGAAATGATCCCCTTTTCTTTTGGCATGATCTCCACGATGTTTTCGTTCTT